TGTTTTTGAAAACATTGCTGCAGTTCACGAGAATGGTAACTCAAAAATTAAAACAATTCTGTTCGTCATCGTGCGCAGGAATTGAATCTCTTAACAACAACGTTAAGTTGTTAAATTTGAAAGAAAAAAAAAAAATCTTAGACACTTAAACTTAATTCATTTAAAGGGAAATGGTTAAGAAATAGAAACAGAAATTATATATATATATATATATATATATATATATATATATATACGTGACGTCACCCCCAGTCTCTCTGCCCTGTGCTATCCTGTGACGACCAATGTGACTTGGTATTGGTCGCGGCGCCAAATGTGACGTTCTAACTTTTGGCTGATTCGGATGGGAATCTGGTTAGATTCGGTATCAGCTTTGTCGTTCCCAGCTCGCCTCCAACGTCTGGTTACCGAAGTAAATGCTTTGATTTCTAGTCTAACCTACCCACGTTGTGATTTGATCTTAGGTAGACGAAATCAATCAGTCGCCGCGCCGTAATGCAAGCCGAATTCGAGCAAAGGTGACATCGCACAAGTATATGTAAAAGAAAAAAAGTAACAACTCGAAAAGTTCAAATGTGTTAAAAAAAAATAACAAATATTTTTATATCTGGTTGCTGAATACAGGACTGCGTCTTTCTCCCAAACCCTTCTATGGATTCGTGACACTTTGCGTTTGTTAGGCGAGTCTTAATATCTTAAGTTGTTTTTTTCAAGAAACTGGTTTTGGTGTATCTTCAGGCGATATTCGTAAAACTTGTTTTGGTGGTGTGAGTCTAAGTCGTTCTTCAAAAATAAATTGTTTTTGGTTAGAAGTTTAAGTCGGAATGCGTGGATATTTTCAGTCAGCTTCCTGCGAGGCTGGTCTGCGAGCTCACAGCTCAACTCTCTGTCTCTGTCTGCTGTCTGCAACGGAACTGCAACTCCAACTGCCGTCTACTCGCTGCGACTCTGTTTATATGGACGCCGACCAAAACCGGGTGTGGGCCTGTCGTGGTTTGAGGTTCCTCGATAATTCTAAATCAACAATAAGGATTTTCTTTGTTTTCGGACAGGAAAATTTATCATTTTCCATTTTGGAAGGAATTACTTTCTGTTTTAGATAAGGGAATCGTCCTCCCAAATTCTTCCTCATATTGGTATCTCACACCATTCTCTCAGGGGGCGTCAACAGGTTTCCCTTTTTTCTCATAGTGGTATCTCACACCAATCCCCTCAGAGGCGTCAACAGCCCCCCTTCCTTTTCATGTTTACCTTCACCCACCGCTCACGCCACCACTCAGCCAATGACCCTCGACAGCGCGGGTGTGGCCAGCCTGGCCTCAGTTTACAATTATCGCTCAAAGAAAAAAAAATTATCTTTTTTTTTTTTTTTTTTTCTCGACGACCACGTACGATCGTGTGTGGTCCTTAATCTCTATCTTAACTGAATGTCATCTCGAATTTATCAACGAGATTTTCGCCAAGCGTTAAATGGGTGGTCAACTGAACGTCTTCGCACCCTGTCGCCAACAATTTGTCCCGGTAACAAACTTTTATCATGTCCAGGTCTGGACATAAAACAGGTGTCTCTTCCCAGGACCAAATGATATCTCCGAAAGATAATTAATGGTTTATTCTTTCCCTTTTTCTCTTTTCCCTTTCTTTTTCTTTGGGGTGGCTCAGCTGATCTTTTTTCTCGGTCGCTGCTCGACCTAAATTTGATTATCTTTAGCATTCTGCTTTTGTAGGCCACTTGACCAATTTGAAATTTTCATTATTGCCATGGGCAGATTGCTATCTTTTATTCGCCGCGTCGTAACATAAATTAATTCCGACAGATCCGAGATCTTACGAATTTCCTATCTTTTGCGAAAAAAATACTTTTCTTCGCAAATGAAAATTAAATCTTTATCACTTTTCTTTTGTTAAAAAAAATAACATCGCTCAGTATGTCTTTCGTGATAGCTTCTTCTCGCTTTAAGTATTTCTCGCTTTTAATTTTCACGCAACCGCTAAATAGTGTCACACACACACACACACACACACACATATATATATATATATATAAATAAATGTGGGCATTAAAGTCAATATACGACAGTCTGTTTCATGCTAAACGTATATGGCCTGGCGATTTAGACCACTCTGTCATAGCCCAACAAGTTTCAATTACCCTTTTGAAGAATCTCTAAATTTACTAAAAACACATCTAACAAAAATTAAAGCAAAATTACCTCTTGCTACACATAAGATCATACAAATGTGCCATTTAATCTCCAATCAATATTTTCCCGTTTTCACAAACATTTGGTTAACCAATGAGGTCCCCTCTTAGCAGTGTTTTGGCGTTTCTATTTTTGAAATTTCTAAAAAGTGTTTTTTTCTAAAATATTTTACCACAAAATTCTTTTTATTTTAGATACATAGAATAATATATAACCACAGAACATAGTTTTAATCGATCTTGTTAACAAACTTATTAACGTTGAGTCCGCAAAAATTTTTACCTTTGAATCTGAGTGAAATAACACTTTACCCTTCCTAGATATGATGCTACATAGAACCAATAATGACTTGTTGGAGGTTTACAGAAAATCTACAAACAAGAATGGCCTTATTATTTCATATTATCAATACTGAATCAGAATAAAATCTCAAATAACTACAGGATTCTATTTAAGAGCACTAAAAATCTTCGGCCCCCCAATATTTACATGAGGGAGAAATATACATAGAAAACAGTTTTAAAACCCCCAATATGACCATTATTTCATCCACAATGCCAAGACAGAAATATACAAAATATACAATCTTTAAAAATATAATGACATTAATAATAACTGCAGCAATAACAAAGACAATAAACTGGATAAAAACAAGCATATGACGTCACCTTCTAACTTAACATTTACCATGAAAAACAATGCAACTCCTCCTCAAAATACATAAAGGAAACTTGCAGAAATATAAAAATACGTATCTATATGTATCTCTGAACACATAAAGGATCGTATGCACAAAAATTTATCAAATGCATTAGTTCTACATAGAAATAAATTCAACCACAACTTTGCTTCAAAGAATGTCACATCTATTAAAAGAGAAATTAACGCAAACGGAAAATTGTTGAAAGTGCCGCTATTGAAATTACCAAAGTATAAATCTGCGCTCCAAATTTTTTCAAATATCTCCCAAGCCAACATACTATAAAAATTAAAATAAAACCATTAAATTTCAAACCTTTTATTAATTTAAAATATATACCACAGAAATTAATGCGAAACTAAAACAGTATAAATAATAATTATATTATTGGAAAAATTCAAGAAGATTTACACACTTTTGTTTATTAGACATTATATTTCCCCGCTTAGCATCCTCCATAATTTACCTTAAAATTTCAGTTATTCTGCTCTATATTTATGGGCGTTCTTATTTTTAAAATGCTAAAAAACTAATATATATATATATATATATATATATATATATATATATATATATATCGCATTGAATGCTTTGTGTTAAAAAAATAGTTGATGTAATATAACAGAAATATTGTAGTTGTTTCTCTCATAAATGAAGAATTTTCAGTGGTAGAAAACTCTGACTGATCGGTTGGGTTTCGATCCAGGCTTGAAGTATTCGGATGTCTAAACACTGAGGAGCTGTGATACAGCGAAACAGTACTGTCTGCGAATGACATAATATTAATAAATATATATTTTTTCCTCAACTCTAAAATGATTCATTTTTTTATAAACAACGCAATCTTCAGGTGCTAAAAGAGTTAAAAAGAAGAAAATTGCGTTGTATATGAAACTCGGAGTCGAACTAAGGGAACAGGATAAAAAGGTATATTTAATATACAGGGTGTCCATAAAGTCTCTTTACAAATTTAAATATATATTACAAAGGCCATTGTTAAGATATCTTAATAAGTTTTGTTGTATGTATTCAGTAGGTATCAAAATTTTTAATCACACTGGATTTGTGTAATTCAGGAATCCTGTTAATGAAAGAGGTACTGTTAAATGAATCATTAACATTTTCAGATCGGTGGAATAGAAGGGATGCCCCAATTCCCTGACCACCATGTTCACCAGATATCACTCCCCTGGACTTCTTTCTATCAGGTTATGTTAAAGATATTGTGTATTGAACAAAAATACATGACGTCAAAATCTAAAGCAAAAAATCAATGATGCAGGGTCCAACATTGATGATGGTACGCTACAATGAACATGACAAAGAAATTTTTACCGTCTTGATATACTTCATGCAACTAATGGTACCCATATAGAGGTGTAGTAAATTAGTTAAAAAGTTCTTTCAATTTGAAACTCCCAGTTTTTGTAACAATTTTCTACATATTTGTTTACGCATTTGTTTTTGTAATAAATTGTAAAGAGACTCTATGGACACCCTGTATTTAAATATATTTGTAGGTGTATGATTACATACATGAGGGAGTAATGATTAATGGTTCAGATTGAGGAATTGGAGAGTTGTTCAAATTCCAGTCAAGTTCATTACATTCTCTTTTGGTGCGCATATAAAGGTATATTAAATTAGTTAAAACAAACTTCAGTATCTACTCCTCATTTTCCAACAATTTCCACATATTTGTTCATTTGCTTTTGTAATAAAGTTTTTAAATTGTGAAGAGACTTTATGGACACACGCACTATATATATGTAAAGGGTATTTCATGGTGGTGGGAAAGTGACTGAAGTCGAGAGGCAAGATCAGGATCGATAACCTTACAGACCCTTTGGGCTTTGCCAAGAATTTCGTGATATCTTGTCGGAACTTCAGTCCAGATTTGGCAACTATGTAAAAATCTGACCTCTTCCAATTATTAAGACCTCCCTTGTATTAAGCATCTAAGGGCACTGAAATTAACTGAGTCTGGCGTAGATCCATAATAACGGAACACTCTGTGAGAATCAAACTCACTAACAATGCAAGATGTGCTTATTAACCATTATTCTACAGCAGGCGTCTTCTAGAAGACTCGGATCATGCGCGCACTGTGCGAAAGAAGTAAAGAAACTTGCATGTGGTACGGTGACTCTTTTGTGGCAGTGGATGATATTTACGAAGCTGAGGCTCACAACAGCGGGGCACCAAGTGAGTATCAACCTCTTTTCATTAAGAATGAACAATGATATCAGCTTAGTGAACAACATTATTGTGAATGATTGTTATGAGTGTACAGGCAGAAAAGCACTACTTTATATGCCGGGTACACGAAACACATACAAATGATTATTTTTCTATTACTATGAACATTATTTTTAGTGGGTACACGGATTTATTTTGCTTTCTGTGTATTTTTCTTAAATATTGAGACCGGGTTAGAAAGTAGGAAGGTAAAAAAAAACAAAAAAAATAAACAACAAAAAACAGGGATAACAATTCAAACATGTGTAGCCAGTCTAATTGATGTTTATAGTAATAAGAAATAATGTCGGATAAAAAAAGTCCATTCACAAAAATGCAATTTACGATACATTCATTCATCATTAAATATATTAAGTATTTCAAAGATGGTAATACGAATTGACGGTGGTCGTTTTCGAAACGTAGCTTAGACGTGACATAAGACAGAAAGTGTGAGAACCGAATTAGTCAGTAATACAAGCTTGCTAACCATTAAACCAAGTCGAAGTTCCCTAATGAAAATAGATGGATGGTGTTTGTAGTAAAAACAGAACCAGTGAATAAACTTATACCAAAGCTAGTTTGCACTTTACTCTGACTACTTGTCTACTGACGGATTATACAGGGTGCTTTTTACATCTCCTAGATCTTAAGGGGAGATAACTGATGATTTATCAGTACAAACTCAACTGTTAAGACTATATTTTTTAATACCCAAGTATATATGTATAAAATATGAACATAGGTAATGTAGGTAAATTTGACCTGTGTGCGAAAGAAAAAGATCTTGTCTGCTGAACTTAAGAAAACTTCTATATACATATATATATATATATTAAAAAGCAGTGGGAGTTTTAAAATAAAATTTCTTTCAAAAATCCCATGTTCCTTCAAGACATACGTAATGATGACACTCCCCAGCGTTTTTTTCTTTATTATCCGTGAATTTTCAATCCTTCTTGAAAAAAAAAATGATAATTTCCCGTTGCCTTCTCTATATTTTGTAATTCAAAGTTTTCCTTCTCTAAGACTGGTTTCTGCCTAAAGAGTTCAGTCTATCCTGCCTTTTAACCTCTACGTGGATGTAAAAGAGACATGTTCATGCCTTCCAAAAGGACATTTGTACGAAAATTGACGCATCAGACTAACCCGAAATCTGAATGTATAAACACATATTAAAATTGAAATATTAAAATTCGTTCATATTTTATGTTCTTTGTAGTAAAAATAGAACCAGTGAATAAACTTATGCCAAAGCCTTATTGCACTTTACTCTGACTACTCGTCTTCCTAGATCTTAAGGGGAGGTAACACATGATCAGTACGTTCTCCCCTACGTATTTTATTCATAAAGGAGAAAATCTCTTAGGTGTCCAGGCTCTTTATAGACTGCTTGAAAAATAGGAAATATCTTTTTTTATGCAACTGAAGATAAATAAAAATAAGATATAATTCATAGCATTTTCATTATTATTATTTTTTGTCTGGTACTATTTTTTAACTGGTACTATTTTTTTTAATTAATAATGATAACAATACTTTATCTAAATCTTTTAGACAACTTAAATCTTCATTGTAAAACAGACAACAGTATGATATAAACCATGTTGTTAAATTCGAGAATATGATTTAAGTTGTCTAAAAGATTTAGATAAAGTATTGTTATCATTATTAATTTTTTTTTTTTACTGGCCTTTCATCTAATTTCTGGTACTTGTTATTTTTAGTAAGACATAGCAGTTTTCAGTTGTTCGAATTCCGTAGATGAAACATTGTTGTTATTAATGTTTCTTTTTTTTGCCTCGTATATTTTTTATCTTATTCGTGTTGCTTTTTGCTTGCAACTCATAGTCCGTTATTCGTTCGGATCAGAAATAAGCCTCTGGCGAGATTTCAACTTCCAAGGCTAAAGCTTACGAGTTGAGTCCATGCTCGAGGCTTATTCTCATATATATATATATATATATATATATATATATATATGTATGTGTGTGTGTGTGTGTGCGTGTGTGTGTGGAGGGGAAACGATGTATAGATTTTTATATATCAGAACAATTTTAAGAAAAATCTATGACAAATCGATAATTGCCAAGAAGGAATTCATATGAAAAAACCACAAGGAGTTTAAATAAAGGATTTTATGAACATAGAAGGAAATTTTTTGCAAAACAATACACTCAGAGCATTAGTTCATCACGGTAATCAGTTTGAACCCAATTTTGATTTCAAAAATGGTACTTTAATGGAAAAAGAAAGCAGTTTACTAAGACGAAAGTCTAGAGAAAGCGCTTTAATCGCTAGATCATCGACACTAAATTGACGTCCACGTTCTTACAAAATTTCATCTTTCTTGGCAGATCTGTTATCACAATGTGGCTAATTTCATAACAAAAGTGAGAAAAACAGAAACAAATATGAAAAGTAACTAACTAAAATCGAATAGACTATATTCCCAAAGCCCATATTTAAAAAAATAAATGTGATATATATATATATATTCTGGGAGTTCCTATATATATATATATATATATATATATATATATATATATATATATAGTTTTTAATATATATATATAAAAATAAGGGGTGATATATGTATATATATCATATATATATATATATATATATATATATATATATATATATATATATATATATATATATATATATATATATATATATATATATATATATATATATATATATATATATATATATATATATATATATATATATATATATGCATACACTGTTCCTTCTTGTTTTATGTTGAGTTTAGATAGATTCTTTTCGATTGTAGCTGTGATAGAGGTACTAGGTAGGATAATATATATATATATATATATATATATATACAGTGACACGCATAAGTATTGGATACATATTATTTTCTGTTATAACTCTAGTTTATGTTCGCCATTTTGACTGATATTTTGTAAGTAATATCTCGTAAAGTTGTTTTAGTTGTATGTGGAAGGAAAATTAAAACTCATGGTTGAATCCATTGTTTTTATCAAAGTTCAAAATTACCTTATTTCTATTGAAACTCAACATAGAAATTGTTACTATTACATACAAAACAATAAATGATAGAGTGCAAACATTAAAATATATATATATATATATATATATATATATATATATATATATATATATATATGTGTGTGTGTGTGTGTGTGTGTGTAATTTAATTTATTATATCTTATTATTTATGTATTATATATGCGGTACTTATTTTGCGCTCAATACCAGTGATAGAGCTAACACTTCGTTGGGTTGATGTGAGTTTGTATTTCTCGGTTTCACGCTTTTGTGATCGTCAGTTTGTCTTTATATATATATATATATATATATATATATATATATATATATATATATATATATTGTTTTGGCGGCTTGATGATCGGTGTTGTGCGAAACTTAAGTAGCCATCTGAATATTTTAGTGCCGCTGGTTAGTGTATTTGGTCTGTTTTTCTTAAGTTTAAGTTTTAATTTGGTGTGTCTCTTTGATTTTTCTAGTTTGCATTTCCTTTTCACTTTTCATTTTGACTTTCATTTATTGGTTTTGTTTTGTTTCTTACTTTTAATTTCTTTGGTTAATATCGATTCTTTAGCAATACTGATTTTTCCTAGTTTTTAAAAATTTTTTAGGGCCAGTGTTTTTAAATTATTGTTGTGATAGGATCCACCTAATTTACATAGTGGAGTACCGACCATATAAATATGGTTGGTACCGGGAAGAGAGGAAGGAATCAAGAGATTCAACCAGAGACTCTGCCCGACTGCGACTCAGTCAACACATTCTCCAGGAACGGTCTTACCAGGAATATACAAAAGACTATATGTAAATATTGTGTACACTTTCTTGTTTCAATACATTTTGTTCTAAGTACATTTTGTGTTGCATTATTATTCCATGCATTAGTCAAGTTTTAACAATTATTTATCTGAGTTTTATTTTATTTATTTTTATTTTATTTCATGCTATTTCCCTTTATTTATCCATTTTATATCAATTATTTAGTTATTCTAATTTTTGTATTCTTTCTTCGGTTGTAAAGAGTAGCATTTATTTCGAAAGAAGTGTATTAGTTTTATTATACGAGTTATTTAGTCTTTGGAGTGGTAATGTGGTTGTACCTATGACAGGGACATGTATGCCTGTGATTTTAGGTGTGTAATGAAGTAAATTTAACGGTTAATGATAACGTGCAGGTTGAATCTTTCACGTAGAACATTACTTTTTATTCAATTCGTGACTTCCTCAATTAACTTCCGGCACGGAAAACTCGATCCAAACATTGTAATAATTGAGAAGTAGCCAAAATTAAATAATTCTTGTCTTTCTCCAAATGGGACCGTATATTGAAGTATGTTTAATATATATATATATATATATATATATATATATATATATATATATATATGTATGTATGTATGTATGTATGAAACGAATCAAAACGTACACAATATTTCAGTTTTAACGTTTATATGAAGTCAACTTGAGTGAGTTGAAATTGGTTCAATCAAACGAGTGAACACAGGAATTAATAAAGCAGTTGCGTAGCTGCACAAGGAACAGATCCTTGAAAATGATTGGAATAATCATTCGAAAGTACTTGGGGAAAAATAATACAAAATAAAAGTTAATACGAATTTCGACAAATTTATCGATAACACAAAACCACGTATTCGAAAATGCAAAGATTTAATAAAACTTTTCCATAATATATATATATATATATATATATATATATATATATATATATATATATATATATATATATATATACTTTTATTTAAGGATATTACATCGAAAAAAACATGTCAAAATCTTTACACAATTGCAATCGTGTTTCGATGCGTATCAATGCGACTCATCAGGCGATTGTAAATTACTGGTGAGTGGAAAATATATTTAGATTTAAAAGCAAGATACAGCGTCTTTTTACGAAAAAAAAAAAT